TCCTGATCCAGGGAGGGTCTGTGTTGTACCAAATACTTTCCACTTCTTAATAATAGACTTCACTGTGCTTTTAGGCATTTATAAAGCCTTGATTTTATTTTATTTTTTTGTATCCATCTCCTGATTTGCAACAAAATGTGATTATTTTATAGGGGTGATTATTTTCTATACCCACTGTATATATGTATATATGTATGTATGTATTTATGTATGCATTTGGTGTTGAGGCCAAATAATTAAATTTTAGTCTCATCTGCCTCAGAATCTTCAAGGTGTGTTTTGTGTTTCTCGAGGAGTGGCTTTTTTCTTGCAACCCTCCCATACAAGCCACATTTGTGGAGAATTTGTGATATTGTTGTCACATGCACATAATGACCACTCTTTGTCATAAATTCCTGCAACTGCTTCAGAGTTGCTGTAGGCCTCTTGGTCTCTGACCAGTTTCCTCCTGACTCTTTCATCCAGTTTTGAGTGACGTCCTGATCCAGGGAGGGTCTGTGTTGTACCAAATACTTTCCACTTCTTAATAATAGACTTCACTGTGCTTTTAGGCATTGATAAAGCCTTTGCATTTTTTTGTATCCATCTCCTGACTTGTGCCTGTCCACAACTTTATCCCAGAAATCTTTTGACAGTGCCTTGCCACCCATAGTGGATTGTTTGCTTCACAGGAAAAACATGCATTCTAAAGTATATTAAGATAGTAAACGGATGTTTTAAATTGTAATAATATTTCAAAAATAATCCTATTTCTTTCTGTGTTTTTCCACAAAAATAATGCAGCCATGCATACATATTTATTTATTAGCATGGAGAGTCATTGACAAATAATATAATTTACTTAATATATCTTTACTTTATATATTTGAGTCAGGGATGGGGACAGGCAATTAAACTTTTAGCTGAACTTTAACTTTAGTTGAAGCATTTGACCTGGAAGGTTTCATTGCATTGCCTTGCGCTTGTTTGTTTTCCATTTTAAAATATTCATATCCCACATCTCCAGCGTCTCTGTGAACATGGTGCGAGTTTACATGGTTTAAAGAGTGTTGTGAGTTCTTCATGGTTTCAGCACTACATGGTCTCTCTATCTTTCTCCTGTGCCTGATGATAATACACCATGTGAGGATCACACACTCACACCGCACATCCTGACAGAGGGAACGTCCCCCTCAGCACAGATGCGGGACACTGCAGGATTTTACACCATTTGCTTCAGTCAGGATCTAACGAGTCCCCAGGGTTCAGGAGGCGTTACTTCGTGTATGTGTGTGTGTGATCGATACTTTCTACACAATCCCTCCCCTACTTAACACTCTTTTGTCCAAAGCAAGAACTCCATCAAAAATCCGGCTATAGGGAGAGAAACCGGTGTGCTGAACACTGCTGGGCGGTGCGGTGTGCCATATAGCCTATTTTTGGCCGAAAACTGAAAATGGCTTTTTCGGCCGATAATTTCGGTGCATTCCTACTTAAAACCATTTTTTGTTGGTGACATTCTAATGGCGTAAGACTTTGCACAGTAGTGTATATGATATGATCATCCTCAATGGTACACTTGCTCCAATGTTTACAGTATCAAGCTGTCTCTAAAGTAACATACAGTCTAATCCTGAATTCATAGAACCACCGCAGAAAAAACTGGCCCAGAATGGCATGGTTTTACAACTAGAACCACTCTGCCCTATGGTGGAGAAGGGGTTTATATCATCACCACCCTAAACTGTCTGTCACTTCTCCTCCATTATGTGTATGTGTGTATATGCTCTACACAGTGTTTGTGTGGGCAGGCCTGACCTGTATGTGAGCTCAGGTTTGCTGTCATCGCATATGTGATGTGACAGCACAAAGCATTAGCTATTGTTGCAAAGCCTGTGCTCTTACTGTAAATGTGTGTCTCTCTCTATCTTTTATTCCTTTGGATTACATCAAATTTTATTTACTGGTGTCCTCTCACTCTCTAGAAACAGAGTGTGGTTGCTTTGTAGCTCCCATAATGCATTAAAACTAAAACTTAAAAACAAAACAAAACATGTTTATAAGCCATTAATTAGCTACAGTGACGTGAACGGCACTTTTTATTTTTTCTCTCCAGGTTGTGATTGATGCTTTCAGGCTAATAAATGCCAATATGATGGTACTGGGTCACGAGCCACGTCAAACCACTTCTAACCTGGGACACCTCAACAAGCCCTCTATTCAGGTTCATTTTCTATATGTCTCTCTACGATAAATATTTTTTAAAAATAAGTTAAATATTTATTATATATATTCTTACTATTGTTTATTACGGGTTGTTTCTTTTTTGCAGGCTTTGATTCATGGGCTCAACAGACATTATTACTCCATTACCATTAACTACAGGAAGAATGAATTGGAACAGAAGGTTTGAACTTGTAGAAAATGTTTAAACATGCTTTTCGTTCTTCATTTGTTGTAACTAGACAGTCATAGTGTGTGTTTGTGTTCAGATGTTGCTGAACCTCCACAAGAAAAGCTGGATGGAGGGTCTGACCCTGCAGGATTACAGTGAACACTGCAAACTGAATGAGACCATCGTCAAGGAGATGCTCGAACTGGCTAAAAACTACAATAAGGTAAGAAAAAGTACAATGACAAGGGATTCTTGCTCTCAAGTCTCACAATTTAAGTGTGGAACTGACGTGCAGCTTTTCTGTAGGAAATATTTTTTTAACAATTGTACCCTATGACATGTTTTTGTGAAATATAATATTTTACCTTTTTTTGTTTTTGTCCCTCAGGCTGTAGAGGAAGAGGACAAAATGACTCCTGAGCAACTTGCCATTAAGAATGTCGGAAAACAGGTTACTAGTTTCTTCTTGTTTAATATTTATATTGTTGGTGGTTTGTTACTGTATTTACTGTAGGTGACCTGGCAAATACTCGTCAGTAGCAGCAGTTCAAAATATCTGACCTTTTGCAGTCTCATAAAGTTTACAGGACTTCATGGACCTGCTATTCTCTTTCTCTTTGTAGGATCCCAAACGGCATTTGGAAGAGCATGTGGATGTTCTTATGACATCCAATATTGTGCAGTGCCTCGCAGCAATGTTGGACACAGTTGTGTTCCAGTGATTTCCCTCTCTGTCTGTGCATAAATGTTCATATTCTGCAACTGTTTTGTCTTTTTAAGAAATAAACACAAAATTCCAGTAATACCATTTTCTTTCCATCATGGACATCAAGGGAAGGTT